TTTTTTTTTAGTAGAGACGGGGTCTCACTCTTGCTCAGGCTGGTCTCGAACTCCTGAGCTCAAATGATCCTCCCACCTCAGCCTCCCAGAATACAAGGATTACAGGCATGAGCCACCGCACCTGGCCTGCCACTTTTCTTTATATACAAAAATATGCAGGTGAGAAATGTTAACATAAAATCATTCCGAAGCCTTTTCTACTAAAGTGTCAAGAGTGCTAGAACTTACTTACCAGAAGTCATCCGAGGATGGCTCTCTCGTCAATTCTGGGAAATGACTGTCAGAGACACGGAAAACAGAATGGTCCCAAAACAGTGATAAAAAAACAGACATTCTGATCAAAACATGAATAAGAAATTTATAATTATTAGATTAGATACACACATTTACAGATTCCCTGGGATTTTTCACTAAGTTAATATTTGCAGAAATAAACTACATTTTAACTGTCCAAAGTTTCATTTGGGATCCATTTAGTTTTAAACACATTCAATAGTAACTGCAGATGTAAATCCATTATAAAAATCCTTTCAAAGCATCGGAAAGATATTTAACTAAGAAGCTAAAAATAAACTTATTTTTTGAAAGAAAACGGGTAATATTTTCAGGAAATGATAAACACACTTACCCATAGGTTACTCCGGCAATGCTGCACTTCTTGAAGTTCATGATATTGCATGTGAGAGTTCCAGTCTTGTCAGAAAAGAGATACTTTACCTAAATCAAAGAGTAGGATAAGATGCATAGACCACTAAGTGAAGTCTTTCCTTCTATATTTTTCAAAACCTAAACAGGTAGATTTCCTTAAAGCAAGAAAATTAGTAACAAAAAATATACTTTATTGCTTAGACCACTTACCAACCTTTTTCCATAACTAATTCTGTAGTTAAATTGTACGGAAATGTGCAAAGGAAGCTTCAGTAATAGCCCTGGCTCCATCTTAGATACTAAGTGGAAACATTAAGTCCTGCCACAAGGTGTCCCATTCCTCAAGGTATTGCCATGGTCTCCTAACTTTACAGATTTAATATGGGAAGTTCTGAACGCACAAAGGGGACATGTAACATCATTCTACATGTACCATTCTGGGAAACTATGCCCTGGATTGGTGAGGGAGAGTAATTAACAGAATTGCCTCGAGAGGAAACTCCAGTTTCTCACTGGTTTTCTAAAGAGGGGTCTAGACTTGCTGGGTACCAGCTGTTGTCCAGGAATCCCAGAGAACTGGTCTAGGGAAGCAGTGCCTTCCTGTTCTACAGAAGGGGGATTAATAACATGAATTGCTTACTTGTGATTTTTCCTAATGCTACAATATAAACAAATACACTGAGAATTATTTTTAAAGCAATTAAAGGGCCTTCAAGTTATTAAAGCTCTTGAAAAAATCAAATATTATATCCAGATATGAAATTAGTATACTAGGAGTAATTAATGCTTTCACTATAAATAATGCCTTTATATAAGTTGTATATGCAGTAAGTCTAGGGATACAAAAACTTCAGTAGAATCTGCCTTCTAATAAGCAGTGGTTCCTGCCTTGTAAAAAAATATATATTAAAATATTGGGGGAGAGCCAAGATGGCCGACTAGAGACATGACTTGTTGGACCCTCCAGGCTGGATGGTGGGATACTGGACTGAGGAGAGCGGAAAGGAGCTGCAGCTCAGGTGTGGGTCACAGAGAGAAACAGCAGAGATGACTGGGGACCCCACAGAGAAAAACAGCAAAGCTGAGAAAGAAGAGAATAGAGAGGAAAATATGGTGGCGTCCATCAAACCCAGAGAGGGTTGGAGCCCAGCAAAAGGGTAAGGTGGTTTCCCTTCCCCCACCTACGTGCCTTTGGTGAACAGCGGGACACGAAGTACACTGAAGGCTTTTCCACCCTCCACGAGCCCAGGCATGGCAGCTAATTAGGAATAGTGGGGTGAACCAGTGAGCCCCAGGAGTCAGGGTGTCCATAAGGGGCACCCCACAGGAGACTGCCACAGGAGGCTGACTGGGAGCCGTGGCCCCTCCCCACCCATTGCAACCAGGAGAGTAGCTTGACTGGAGAGGCCCACAAATGTCTGCTTCTCTCGTGCCCCAGGCTGAGCTTGCCACAGAGAGCAGGGTCCCTGTGGGAGCAACCTGCCCGCTGGTGTTTCACGGGATCTCCAGCTGGCAGCTCAGATAGGCGATCCTGGTGCCCTAGACACAAGAGCGGTGCAGGGAGGTCTCCGACCTGGACTCAGGTGGTGAGGAAGCCCTCGTGGACATATCCGTTGGGAGAGCGTGGTGGGTGCTGAGGTCAGGGGAGGAGCTAAGCAGATGGTGGCTAGACCGCCAGCCTGAAAGCCTTTGCAAAGCCTCAGCGGGGCTCAGCTGTTGCTTTTCTGGTCACTAGGGGGCGCCGCTGGGGTGAGGTTCGGAACAAGCTCCCCAAACCGGGAAACCTGTTCCCCAGAGAGCGGCCTAAATGCTCGAGTGCTCGATGCTGAGGTATCCGTGAGCATGCTGGAGAACCACCGTATTAGACAGGGGTGCAGCCTTCAGAGAGAAATAGCCTAGTTCCCAGTCCCATGGCAACTAATGCCTCCGGCACACCAGCTGAAAGGAAGCTGTGGCCCCTCATTACTCACTACGACAGGGGCTTGAGCCAAGAAACTGCGAGTGGCCGCTCCTCTCTGGCGGGAGCAGGCCCCTGGCTAAGGTCCCTGCGGATAGAGGAGCCCACTACTCTCCCTTCGGAGACTTGCAGGGGAACAGGGGTGCACGGGTGGGGAATCCCCTGCCCACCAGTGTGTCGTGGAGATGCACTCTAGTGGGCCAGACACACGGGCTGGGGGGAGGTCAGAGAGCCGGACTCGGGTGGTGAGGGAACCCACGTGGACTGATCCGACAGGGGTGCGCCGTAGGGATCCAGGGAGTGGCGATTTGGGAGGATGGTCTCACCTCCCCGCAGAGAAACTGCGCTCGTGGGCAAAGGCAAAAAGAGCCCAGCCCAGGGCCTCAGCATTCAAGCATTTAGGCCCCTCCCTCGGGAATGGGCTTCCCAGTTTGGCGAGTTTGTCCTGAACCTCATCCCAGCGGCGCCCCTAGTGACCAGAGAGGCAACTGCTGAGCCCCGCTGAGGCCTCGCTAAGCCTTTTAGGCTCCCATAGTCTAGCCACCACCTGCCTAGCTCCTCGCCCCACCGCAGTGGGAGCAGAGATCAAGCAACCCCCTGGGAACTACAGGGTCCCTCATAAAGCTTGGGGCGCTTGTGTCCCCCCTCTTGGGGACTAGAGCTTACCACGAGCAAAAAAGATCATCTTGACAGCTGGCTCTTCCATACAAACATATCCAGCGATGGGGAAACAGCTCTACAGCTCAGCCTAGTGCGTCCGGACTCAAGCAAACAAGATGTGGCTGATTTCTACTTACAAGTACCACCTGCCATCTCAGAGATTAAGCTGGGGGGCCCACCCCAGTTCACACTGCTGGGAAGAGCTGAGCACAGAAGGTCAGAGGAAATCCAAAAGGTTCATCAAAACTGCTTGAACACCCCTTAGAAAACCCAGGACCAGCACTCCACCTCCTGCCATGGTTAGGGATCGATCTTCCGGGACCCAGAGACAAAGCCGCAAACCAGGCCTAGTGCCCCTAGGACTCAATTGAGAGGCCAGATGAGAAGGAATCAGTGAAATAACTCTGGAACATGAAAAATCAGAGCAAAAGGACACCCCCCCCCCAAAAAAACAGTAATTCCTTAACAATGGATATGAACCAAAATGAAAATACCGAAATGATTGATAAAAAAGTCCAAATACAGACCACAAAGAAGCTCAATCAAATAAAAGAGAAAATGGAAACCCAACACAAATAAACTACAGGACACAGCCACATTTTCAAATGGGCTCAAAAGCCTCCAGAGAGTCTCCTGGCAGCTCTCCTGAAAAGAAAAAAAAAAGAAAGAAAGTCTCCGGAGGGAAACAGACACTACATCACTAACCACATCCCTTATTTTACTGCATTTGTGTTTGGAAAGACTGTTATGGGAACATAGAAGACAGGTAAATTAACCTTGCCTGGAAAACTGGAGAAGGAGTCAAAGAGGAAGCAAATTTAGCCTGATTTGTACCAAGAACTCATTGATTCTTACAGGAGCAGGTTTTACCAGGCAGACAAGGGAAGTGACCAAGCCATTCCAGGAGAGAATGTAAACAAAAACAATGAGGAGCGAAAGTCCAAGGTCACTGACTTAGCCCTACCTGACCAGAGCACAGGGGGTGGTAGGAGGATTTGTGCTCTATGCCAAGGACGTTCTCTGTAATGACAACACACCTGTTACACTAAGAATTTAAGTGCACATGTATGAACATACACAATTCAAGGAAAGAGAAAAATTTGCCATTAACTCCAAGTAGATTTGGAAAATTGTATCAAAAGAACAGCATTACCTGCATTTTTTTGTCTATAACGTTCTGTTTTATAACAAAATTTGGTCTACAAATTTGTGCCTCAACTTTCCGGCAATAAAGCCCAAAATGTAACACAAACCATCGCAGAATTCACTTCATCTTTCAAGGAAAGAAAAAAGGAGAAAGCTAGCCTACCTCCCCAGGAGAGGTTTTCTAACCTCAGATGCATGAGACATCTGACCGCATCTTCACAGAGGCGCAACACTGAGGATGGAGAGGTGGTTCTCAGCAACAGCCCTATGCTGGCAGGGAGGCGTGCGAAGGCCAAACTGCGACAGACAATTTGGAATCCTCGACCTGTCACTTTCTAACCAGGTGTCCTTGGATAAGTTACTCATTTCCTTATCTATAAAATGAAGATACAGCACCCACCTCACAGGGTTGTTGGGAAATTTAAATAAGATGTATAAATGAAATCATAATCCTTAATTGCAATGTGTTCAATAGAGGTTATGAAGAGGTTATTCCTTATGGGGATTTCAATGTGAGACACAGAATCAAGGCAAAGCACATCTCAGTAAAGGCAAGAGGAGTTCGGGGATGAAGGTGAAAAGACACTGGTTCCCTGGAATATTCCAGAGACAAACACTGAACATGTGAGGGATACATGCATGTCCTTTCACTTAGCCCCCACATTTTGTAGGGTTACCCAACATCTGAGTATCTTAACCACTGTTTTCCCATCATTTGTTCCTGGTAAACACTTTTTAAAAGGGTCCAAAATGATGTTGCACTACATTTTTTAGACTGCATTTTGCACGGTATTTTTTGCAGATGACTTCTAGGTGATAAGATTGCACTGTGTCTCAAAAAGCCAGTCAAAATGGAGTGACATTTGTATCTCATAATAGTTTCAAATACTAGTTCTTCAGATGTCACTAGGCATTCAGGGAGAAATGTTTTTGCAAAAGCTTCCGTGTGTTAGCGCAGGGAGGAGAGTGAGGCATGAGCAGAGGAGGCATGGAACGGGCAGCGTGAACAGACGGGATGCTGCGTAGGAAGACACTGTAACGGTAACAAGATAAGCTACCCCCAAGTGTCATAAGAAACATAACAGAAATAACACAAGGCACATTACATGATATTATGGTTTGCCCCCTGCCCCTGGTGGGCTCTGGGCGCCACCCAGAGCATCACATCTGGTCCTAACCATATAAGGTGTGAAAAACTGCTCCGCTGCCAGCAGGAAGGAGACAACATCCCCATCAGTCAAGAAAAAAGAGGAAGAGACAACGTAGAGGAGGAGGAGAGGCCAGACAGGAGAAAAAGGAAGGACACAGAAACCCAGGGCCGTGATCTGCTCGGACACGCGCCCACTCTCAACCCTCAAGAGTGTACTTTCAATAAACTCTCTGCTTGCAACGCAGTCTCTGTCTCTCGCTCTCATTCTTCCATCTCGAGAAGACAAGAGCCAAGGGATGTGGGGTACAGCGGTGACATATGGCTCTTCTGCTACCACTCATGTCCCCTCAAGCTCATGTCACCATTACCAAGGTTCCCAAAGAGGTTCTCACCTGCCCAAGCTCTTCATTGAGGTTTGATGTCCTGGCCATTGCAGGAGTGTCATTTCCTAGGTAATACATATCTGTGTCCTGAGAGAGAGAGAGAGAATGTACATTTCAGAAAATATTTGCCATTAATCCTTCATTCAGATTAACGCAGAAAAGAAGCTAAGAATGGATAACTTAAAACTCTTCTGTTTTCATAGAAATGTTAATTTTAAATTTTTGGCTGAAAATACAGTGTCTGTTACGACAGAGAAATGACGTGGTACAAGGGGAAAACACGGTATTAATATACAGAAGACTTGGTCTCAAGATGATCATTTCATGACCTGGTCTAACTTACGATTCTGAGCTCAGTTAATACCTCATTTATAGGATTGCGGCGAAGATCAAACACGAATGCACACAGAAGCACCTGGGCTACCTGTCCTGGCTGCTGAAGTCCAGTGCTTACAGGCCATGGCAGTCCCTTAAAAAGTCTCACCTCTGCCCGCTTAAAATCCAATCCAAGTTTGCCGCCATGATGAATTTCGATATAGCGTGAACATGATGATAAACACAACCAAGAGGCCCTTTCGTCAGCACTAACTGGGCTCCAGCAGCACCAGCAGCAATCACAGCCCGATGACAAGCACCTGCTCAGTCTTCCACCTCCATCACCTCAGTGGCCACAGCAGTCCTCGCAGAGGTACTGTTGTCCTCCCACCTCTCAGGGACACCGCATTGGAGATCCCTTGCCAGTTCTTTGTGTGGCCAGTTTAAACCCCTGGACCTAACGGTAAATGGAAACTTCTTTTCTGGGAGCTCAATTAAACGCTGAAGGCTCTGAGATAGTATAGACAACAGAGGTTGAACTCTGCTTTAACACTCACCCAGTTTATGAAAAGGGCCTGAGTGTACTTCACAACTTCGAGAGTCACCAACAGGCTGATGGGAATGAGATTGTTGTATAAGATGATGAATGTCAACAGGTTGTATCCAAAATTATCTGAAGTCGTGTCTGTGGGAGAGAACCAGAGTATTTATACAGCTTTAGTTACAGACTCCATTCAGTTTCTTTTAACCTTTTTATTTTGGAATTTTTCTAAAAGATGTTCCCAACAAAAGCCTACTGGCTTATTTAGAGATTCAAGTTAGAATAGCTATGAGCATCTGCTACGTGTCAGGAACTGTGAGCACAAGGGCTGGTTTCTCAGGGGGGCTGTCAGGGAGGGGAGTGAGCAGACATGAGCATGCCCCCCAACGTGACCACGCAGCAGGACGTCACAGGACATTGCAGGAACCAACACAGGAGGCATCTCTGTGGGAAGGCATGGCCGCTAAAGGCCACCCAGAAGAAATGCTGAAGAGCAGAGGAGAGACAGCTGACTTAAAAGAAAGCAGAAAGGAGGATAGGCATTTGAAAACTTTGTAAGGAATATCGACAACCTCACTAAGGCATGAGTATATTTGGGACACTCCAAAGAGTTGGTAAGATGGAAAAAAATGTGAACAAGAGAAGCAGACCAAGAGAGGCAGGCAAGAAGCCTCGAGCCTCACTAAAGAGAAGAGAAGGAATGTCTTCATGGACCAAGGTCCCCAGGGGCAGAACAAGACCCTTGGTAACAGGATCCAAAGCAGAGGCAGGGGCAGCTCCAACAGGAAGAGGGACCAGGAGTAGGGAAGGAGGTGCCGGGTCTGGGGTTGTCAAAAGGGGAAGTTCTTCCCTTGATGGCCATGATATTCCACTTGAAGGACAAAGTAGTGAGATCTTCTTAACTTAGCAAGAGGGTTAGGGAGAGGGCGGCAGCCAGCTGAGGGTTTGGCTAGGATTTCAGATGCCTGCGAGGGGAGCTGGAATTAGCATACAGACAGCAGCAGGCGAGGACTGGAGATCAGGCATCCATAACGGCTCCAAACCACAGGGAGTTTTTCCCCAGGAAATTCAATGAAATGGAGGCAGTCTGATTTAGATCTAGAACTCTGGAGGGAGGTTGTGACAGAAAGAGAGGCTCTGGGAAGGACAGGGGTGAGCAGACACATGCTGGTCAGTGCCGCCACCTGGCCACCGCCTTCCGTCTCCTCATCCCCACCGAGACTTCCGTCTTTCCCACTGATCACTTTTGTTCCTGACCCACTACTTACTATCTTGTTCTCCTACAGAATTAAGGACTTACTAAATAGGATCTCTAAGTCCCAAGGGTTACAGACATCTCTCTAAGGTACAACATTTGCTTAGGAACCAATATCTGCCAAATTAAGAAATGCTAAAGTAAGTTCTCGAGGATGAAAGTGACACCAGACGGCAATTAAAATCCAAATAAAGGAACAAAGGGCACCAGTAAAGATCATTTTAAAGGTATTTATAAAAGACAGTATAATTACACCTTTTTTATCCTTTCTTCTCAATTTAAAAAAAAGCAACTGCAAAAACTTCATTAGAAAATCGCACTGTTGGCCTTACAGAGAGATGCGATATACGTGACGGTACAAAGGACCGAGGAGAATGAAGATGCACGAAGCAAAGAAATGATACCACCTGCCAATTCAAACCCAGAAAAAAGAGCGCAGAAAATGGTAAATAAGTAGGCTCACAGTTTTTTTTTCTTTTTTTCCTTTAGATTCTTTAAGAGACATAAGGTTGGTAGACAACATAGATAAATATAATCCATGTATCAATAACAATAATAGCACAAAGCAGGAGAGGAAACAATGGAGGGATATTTCTGTATTTGACTGGAACTAAGTGAGTGTCGATCGGAAGCAGAGTTAGATAAATTACGATACACATTGTAATCCCTAGTGCAACCAGTAAGAAAATACTTAAAAAATAGTCAAGAAATAATCATTGGAGTATAAAACAACCCCCAAATGTGCCCTTCTCCACTTCCTCATGTGAGCCTAACCTCTCAATGGTCCCTGAAGGACTGGCATCATGTACAGTAGCCCAAGGGCACAGAAGGACTTTCCAGGGACGGTTCTATTCTGTACCAACCAGCAGCCCCCCAGCACTTACTCATCTTCTTGATGTACCAGTTCTTTCCGCCTTGAGACCCGTTCCAGTACAGGGCTCCCACCGAGCTCACCAAGGCCATGACCAAGAGGATGCCGAACAACACCAGGATCTGTACGTTGGTCACCTTCTCGACATTCGATCTCTTGAGAGGGGCTTTGGTTGAATTCTGCGCAACAGCATGGAAAGCGAATAAGGGTCACAGAACAGACTTGGGGCCAAGGGAGGGGAGAAAAGGAGATACGACAACCATATTGAACAAGTGTCAAGTAAAAGACTTTTTTTTGCTGAGCAATCAATGAAATTAAAAAGTGTACCATGCTCCTGAATCAACAGCTAGTTTTAAGAAAAAAGAAGACACACTCTACCAGTTTAAAAAACACATTCCAACTCTATGTGATTCATTCTGTACTTATGATATTTACATACATAGCACAAAATTAACTACTTTCTTTATCTTAGACATAAGTTCTAAATAAAGTAAGTAAAGTTTCAAACAAATCAGGATGCTGTTAATTCAAAAGAAACTTAGAGATTCTACACTATAAAAACCTAGGGAGAACTTTCAATAGCCCAGCTCTACAATAAATATACTGAGACATTTTAAAAGTACTTATTTTCCCCTCCAGCAGTTCAAAATTTGAAGAAAAAGAAAGACACACACACAAACACATACACATCAATAATGCAAAATAGAACATGAATAGGTGTCAAAACAAATGGACAAAAAGTTCATCTGGAGGACTGTGAACAAGAAATGAGCAGGCAAAGTCAGGAAGGGTCTCGGGGACAGGAGAAACCCAACCGGTGTCCTGAATCACAAGCGGGGCGTAGACAGGAAGGAGAGGCAGAAGGAGAAAGCCTCCACGGACCTGGCATGTGCTTTCTCCCTGCCGCTGGGGAACCCAGCCCAGCCAGAGCCCAGGCCGCATGAGGAGGCGAGTCCAGATTCATTAAAGCCAGATTCAGGAATCACCGCATTTCAGGTGGAAAATTTGGGACTAGACTTTCCAGCAGTGGAAAAGTCGGTAGAACTGTTTGAATAAGACAGTTACGCACCTGAAGTCATTTTATAAGAAAAATTTCTGAAGGTAGTCGTGGTGGGCAAGATAATGGCCCCTCAGTGACACCCACATCCTAATCCCTGGCCCCTGTATGTCATTTTATATAGCAAAAGGGACTTTGCAGATGGGATTAAATTAAGGACTTTGAGAAGGAGAGATTACCCTGGATCACCCAAGTGGACCCAATCTAATCATAAGGATCCTGAAAAAGGGGAGCTTTTCGTGATTGTGGTCAGGGGTGAGGTGACTACAGGGAAACGATCACAGAGGTACAATGCCGCTGGCTGTGAAGATGCGGGAAGGGAGCCAAGAGTGTAGGCTGGAAGAGGTAAGGGTCGGATTCCCCTCTAGAGCTGTGGTCCCCCACCCCCACCTCGGGGCCACAGACCGGTACCAGTCTGTGGCCTGTTAGGACCCCAGCTCCACAGCAGGAGGTGAGCAGTGGGTGAGTGAGCAAAGCACCTGTATTTACAGCCACTCCCCATCGCTGGCATCACCATGTAAGCCCCGCCTCCTGCCAGATCAGCTGTGGCATCAGATTCTCATAGGCGCCCAAAACCTACTGTAAACTGCGCATGCGAGAGATCTAGGTTGTGTGCTCCTTATGAGAATCTAATGCCTGATGACCTGAAGTGGAGCAGAGGTGGTGATGCTAGCACTGGGGAGTGGCTGCAAATACAGATTATCATTATCAGAGAGGTTAACAATGTAATAATAACAGAAATAAAGTGCACAGTAAGTGTAATGCACTTGAAACATCCCGAAACCTCCGTTCCCATACCCCTACCCCCCCGTGGAAAACCTGTCTTCCGTGAAACCAGTCCCTGGTGCCAAAAAGGTTGGGGATCGCTGTTCTAGAGCATGCAGAAAAGAACAGCCAACATCTTGAGTGTTGGCCCAGTGAGACCCATATCAGACCCGCATCAGACCTACAGACCTGCAACAGAATTAACTGTGTTACTTTAAGCACTAAGACTTGGAACTGTGTTACAGCAGCCACAGGAAATGAACACAGTAATACGGCAGGTGGCTGAAGAAGACATCAAGGAGAGGAAAGCCAGGTGGGAATTAATTATAATCTGTTGCCGAAGGTGAAATAATTCCTGGATTAAATTAGAAACCAGGAACTTCTAATTCAGGGAGAGACAGACAAAGGAGAGCCAGCCTGCCGGTCTCCTTCCGTGAATCACGAGCCCTGGCTTTGCAAACGCAACACGGATTTGCCAAGTTTGGGTAATGTGCAAGTTTGTGAGGCACTAACTGACCACAAAAATGGTGCCTCGTCCCAAACTTAAGTCAGCACCCTCCGTCACTATATTCTCCATGGAACTGATCATTAAAAGAACCATGATGAAAATGTCTTCAAAAACAAGAATACAAATAAGAGTCACAACGAGAAAATGAAATGGAGATGAAAGCAGGAGGCAATTCACTCCTGAGCTCCATGGAGAAGCTCAAACCACAATGTCCCTGAAATTTTTATCTGGATTCTGTCACCAAACCCGGAAATGCCATCATGGCCATGGTCTTCTTTGGGGGTAGGGAAGCTGGGGAATTTTTGTACTGGTGATTTTGAAAAGCTAAGTCCTTCAGACATTTAAACAATACAGCATTTTTCTTTACTTCTGTTCACATTTTCCCCCTTTCACTTTAGTTCTTTAAATTATTTGTCTTTTACAGACTTTAAGAAAAATTCCTCTAGCCTCTAAATGTAAATCCATTAGTGAAGGCCAACTTATCATCAACCAAATGCCATATCCAGGTCAACTGGGGGGACACAGCCACATCTGGCCTCATAGCAAGAACCAGCAGGCCAGTTCCACCACTGTTTATCCTAACGTTTAAAAACTAAAGATGATCATATCATTTTTAATAAACATTCCCTGAATGCACAGGCAGGAAAAAAAGTACAGTAAACTTCATTTCTATGACCCCATTAGTTATTGACGTCTGATCTTTTCCAGTGGTTAAATTCTGGCCAGTTAAGAGGATTAAGAAAATGTATCTTTCACCCAACACAAGAATAATGACCCCAAAACGGCAGGCTTCAACGTGTGCACTCTGTGGAATGCCAAATTCCGCCTGCTCACTCCCGTCCTCCAAACATCTCTACTTGCAATGGTGAGTTTTTAACACTGAATTCCTACTGTCATTACGAGTTCTCCTATAAAATTCTGAAAGAGCACTGCTACTTTGGTGTAATGGAGTTATAAATAAAACCAGGTCAAAATGTCAGATTTTGAAAAAGCTGAAATCAGACCTAAATCTTACACATTTTATTCCCTCCTGAGAAAGGAGGTGTCAGAATACTGGGGAGAACACTGACTCTGGAGTTTGACCGCCTGGGTGTGAATCCCTATCTCTTCCCAGTTTGTAAGCTTGGGTTACTTAGACACCGTGTGCCTCAGTTTCCTCATCTATAAAATGAGCACAATCTTACCCAGCTATCATGAGAAATAAATGAGTTAAATATGTGAATTGCCTAGAACATGTGTGATTTGTTGTAATTAATGTTTGCTATAATTAATGTGATAATCTCTCTCTTTCCCATTAAATCAACCAAGCCAGCATAGTAGATATTTCCATATATAACTACACTAAGCATGAAATGAGCAAACCTTGAATGGTCAAGGCATTGAGGTGAGAGTTTAAGAAAAAAAAGGTAGAAGAAGAACCCTAAAGCAATTGAGTTGCCTCTCTGTGGTCAAGTAGCACAAGTACAGGTGAAAAATGTTATTTCACAAACAGGATGGCTGCCGCTACGTGTGCTATATTTTGTTCCTTTTGAAAGCTCATTATTTTTACTTGCTGTTTCTAAAGGCACAATGGGTCTGGCATAGAAGTTTCTGGGGTGTTCCATCGTTCTGTACTCGAGCCGTCAACATGCAATAAGCCTCGCAAAGAGGTTTATCACACCTAGGGGTAAGGAAAAGTGCCTCTCACACTCCCTCCCAGGATGCAAACTTAGTGCATACTCGCTCACTGAAGAGACGATGGAAGTGTTTTAAAGTATAACTTCATTCACTCTTACATCTTAGCTACAAAGCTGTATTATCAATGTATGGTCTAGGAAAACAGTATGACATCCTGAAAAAACACCCAGCGTACAAGAAATCTCAAAGGGTGCTTAAATTTGTAATATGCATAATCTCTGGGCTCTGCCCAAATCTGAGCTAGCCGCTCGTGATCTCTTTGTCACCTCATTGTAAAAAACACGAGTAGTGACCTGTGGTTAGTGATGCTCTAAAAGCGTTTGGCAGGGTCCCGGCACCGGACCGCGGCACACAGAGCGTACTGGCTGGGTGACACAGCATCAAACTATTCATCAAGATAAGTCCTCCGCACGCAGGCTGCCCAGAAACAACGCACTTAAAGCATTCTAATCAGCCCCCGTGCACAGGTGAGGACCTAGCGCGGGGATAGATCAAGCCTATCTCAGACATGCTGAATAATCTTATTCCATCCCAGGGGCTGCTTCTCAGAATTCACCAACTATTCACTTTTCTAACAGGCATGCAGCCCTCCCCCCACCCCGCTCCAACACACAGCTCTGCAACCTTGCCCCTGCGCTGGGCCCTGCCTCCCCTCCTCGGTCAGCTCTCCCCTGCCCCTCGCCTCACCCGGTCAAGGACACGTCTTCCCCCCCACAAAGCAGAGGGTGTTCCAGCAGAGACTTGAATCGCTTGGCATCTGCAGGTGTTATTACCGGATGTATATTCGAGACATGGAAATACTTCTGAACCTTTATTCCTCAAATGCCATGTTAAAAAAATTGCTCATAAAATGCATGCATGTGGCTACACTACTTTCTGCCTCTCCCCGACCCAGCAAGGCTACCGGCCTCTCGGTTGCTCCTGCTCACTCACGGAGCACTTGACAACTGGCTCAGGGCATTCACCCCTCTCTGATCCTATCTTGAGAAGCACAGCACCGACGCATCAACTGCCTCAGTCTCTCAGCCCTTTACTTCTCAACATCAGGGGGCCTCCAACAGCTCCACTGTTAGCTTCCTACCGCCATGGTTCACTCCCAGGTCTCACCATGCTGGAAACCCTGCACCCCAGAGATGCAAAATGAGCATCCTGCACACTGGTCGGCCTGTCAGCCAACAACTGCAGCCATCCTCTGCAACTTCAGGGAGTCTCCCAGTCCTTCCGATCCCCTCTCCCTCCCCTGTCTTCACTGTGTCCATGAGCTGGTGTGGCCACTGGGGTCTACCGCTTCATCTCTTGGACTGTTTAACTGTCTCATCCCATTATCATGTGACCGCAGAGTGGATCAGCACAACAGACTCCCCTCTCCAACTCGTTATCTAACATGTGCTTCTTTGGGGATCATTCTTGGTGTCCAGTCAACCGGCACCCCCAGACCTGGGTTCGATGACCCTTCTGGATATACCCATAACACGTTAAAATAACACATATTCCAGTAACTATCTCTCTACTTTGGATTCTAGCCTCCCTGACTCCCAGAGGGTAAGATGGGGCCTTTCACCTTCGTATCCACACAGTCTAGCACTAGGTTTGGTACATGGTGATCACTAAACATTTTTTAATCAAGAAATACAGCCAAATCTGTGTTTTAGAAGGTATACAAAATGGCAGACAACTGAAAAGCAAATTCTCTTATTAATAGCTACCATTAGCAAAATAAGATGCCAAGTGATACCAAAGAAAACCTAAGAAATGACATTTTGAGACACCGATTTATGTAGAATTTCAAAAGCTGCCTGGCAAAATATGTCATAATATAAATGTGAGCTGTAAATTCACAAGTAATAATTAAAAAAAAAGAAAACATTAACAGGGAAAAACATTATTTTGACTTCACATTTTTTTCTTTGGTATTTGAAGAATAAACATTTACTACAAAAATAACTGATTTTAAACTGTCTAAAATTCAGTTAAGACAATTTGTTATAAAATCCTAATTAATAGGGTGAAGAGGAGTAGTAGAGAAATAAAAAAGTTAGAACTAATCACCTGCTAAGTATAGACAACAAAATAAGTTAGAACTGATTGCCCCCCCTAAATCTAGAAAACAAAGACCATTTATATTTCAGGCAAAAGGTAACAAGTACCCTATAAGATAACATAAATCCAGAAGAAACTACCTAAGAACTAAAATAAAGACACTTCCTTTCCAAATTTAGGTTCATAGACCAACTGGAGTTTCCTAAATGCAACATCTGCATATTCCACCCTCTAGTCTATAAAAACAAAAAGGAAAAAAAAAAGACTAAAATCAACATTGCTTTTCAGAATAGAAATGTTTTACCTGCATGAGTTTGGTGTCGTGTCCAGTATAAACTACTATGCCAAAGACCCACTGAGTATTTCTAAGCTGCGTACCTCTTAATAAGATCTGGTCAGGCCCAAGGGAAACAGGGCTAAAAATAAGAAACAACATTTATATTTAATGACAGTCTGACAAATGAGCATGAGCCTTCCCCTTACACATAAACCCACAGTAAATCAAATGTCTCCTTTAGTAGAATTTGAACTATTCCACTGAGAAACGGGAGCAACAAAGGTTACCATTGGCTTAATCTGCCAAAAGAGGCCAACAAAAATGGTTTATTTTATTCATTCATCACTAGAGAAAAATGTTTTTCCCCCCCAATAAAATGTTAGAGGGAATTATGTCTCTCATAATCCTGTTATGAAACTCAACACCCAGAAAGGGAGTTGCTAAACTAACAACCAGAAGCTTATTCATTTGTGAAACTCAGTTTATTTTACAGACTATTATAAGAAAAAAGAAAAAGAAGCAGTTAACCTATCACATCAGATTTGTCAAGGATGTCTTAATGATTAAATAGAGACCTGAGTGATAATTTAGAAACCAAAATGGGGAGCGTCTAGAGTAGCTATGCGTGCCACATGAAGCCAAGAAGCAGTCACACTTGGTCGTCATATTTATTTGGGGTTGATTCCCACGGTCAGGTCCTTCCAAGCTGTGGGTCCGTTCAGAACATAAAGGACAGCCCGACAGGTTGTGGGGGGCACTGGTGGGAGGCATGCAGACAAACGGTGGCCAGGAGATGGACACTGCACCCCAACGTCATAACCACAGATGACACTAACAACACAGCAAATGCCCAGAGGACAAAGACAACGGAATACAGACAACAGGGCACTGAATATTCTAGAGGAAGAGTCATCATTCACTTCATTTGACTTTCTAAAAAACAAATGTTCCTTAGGAAAATGCTAGGAAAAAAATTATACAGTTCTCTAACAAGTAAACTAGCTTTCATATACCTCAGACACCTCTCTTCTGCTTTTCTGCACCATTTTATGCAGCTAAAACCATTTCTCCTGCCTGGCAGGGAACGAACGGGAACAGGGAGAATAAATCACATGTTTTGAACCTTATCTGAGGCCCTTGGGATCTTTGCTTGTCAAAAATCAGTTCTTTCCTTAAATTTAAGGGAAATTTTAAATTGACTGAAATGGTATGAAATCTCACTGTTTTAAAATGTTACGAAACTAGAAAATATTTTCCAAAGCTCTAATAATTCTTAGACACACCAAAAAAAAAAAAAACACTAAGAAAAGGAGAATAATACCTTTTCCCATCTAAGTGCAAGTTTCCAGTGAAGTCATAGAGGTGGCGATTGGGCCCTTCACATTCCACAGTTCCAGATAACTTCATCAACACCTCTCGCGTCTGCATTTCAGCGGTGTGACTCAAAGCCTAGAACGTGAAGCCAAAAGAGGAAATCGAACACAGTCTTCTGTGTTAGGGACAGCGTTCAGCGTTCCCATCATAATCAAAAGGAAATAATGAGTCATCTATAGTACGGTAACTTTGCAGGGCTCTCAAATCAAATTATCAGCCCCGCGAAGTCGACTTTACCAGCAGCTTTTGCCACAAGAACCTAATGCAAAAGTGGCAAAAGAATTTAATGAAGTAGAAAGTCAAGATCCCACCACTGTGCTAGAAACATCCATGTGTAAGTAATAGTTAACACACTAAAACACCTTACTGAAAGCATCATCTATTAGCTATTCCGTGAAGCTGGCTATAAAAATACAATGAAGAATCCCTTTAATATTTTAACACTATCTAGCACTCCACCAACTCCTTTAAACAGAAAAATAAATGTCTAAAGGAAATATCTATAATAGAAAAGAAAGATATGTGGATAGAATTACTGAATTCAACTCTATGTTTACTGAATTCAACTCTATGTAGCAAAAATTTTTAAGTGTCAAAATACTTAAAATTTTTATACAGTAAAGACTATTGTTCATTCTGGAATTAAAATATATGGTAAGAATAGCTTCTTTATTTAAGGCATGAAAATTCTGCATCCAGTATACCACTCCAAGAATTAGAATCTCCATTACAATGGTGTAAACTGAGGCACACAGAGCCTGTCTGCTGTGTTTGTCCACAGTACAGTTGGGGTCCTTCCCACCCAGTCAGCCTTATTGGGATGTCCCCTCTCTTCAGAATCACAGGCAGAGAGCGCAGAAAGATGCAAATGAAGGTGTGATATCCTTTGTCACCGAGAGCTTGATGAAGGCCAATTTTCCCAGCTCTCCTTATGCGAGTTCCCCTCATCATAAAAGACATGAAAGACATATTCTCTCTGTTCGGGTTAAGGCATGACCTTTTGTGGTTGAACATTTTTTTTCTTTCTCTAGGAAAAGACAGGTGGGGCCATATGTGCTACTGGGGCCTCCATAACAACACATGTCATAAAAGGTGACTTTCCCTGCCGTATTTTAAGGTTCGTCTCCCCATCTAGATTAGCTGTTTCAACATAGCACATTGCCTGAGGTTCACTAAGGAGAGAGAGAGAAAAAGCCAAGTTTAGTAAGGTCCTCTCCACAAACTCGCAGCTCCTAAAATCTCTCTTATGATTGGCCCTTCAAAATAAATTGTTACAAACAACCACTTCAGCAGCAGTAATTGATGAGAAACGAAGACGCACGCTGGTCTCCGGGGCTCAACACCGACAGAGGCATCCGCCCGGCTGACCCGCCCTTATGCGCCCCGGTGACAACTCCTGGCCTCAGGCAGCCAGAAAGGACTGCGGATGAGCGAGAACAGGGGCGTGCTACCTGAAACGTGTGCTGTCCCTCTCTGCCAAGACCCTGCCACTGGGTTCGGGTGGTCCTTAAAGTCTGGGGCTGGCCCTGCTCCTGACCAAAAAGTCCACCCTAGGCACAGCCAGCACAAACATGCATCTTTTGAAGAAAATCACAGCCAGAGGAGTCAAAGGAGGAAGGCATGGGCCTGGCAAGCCTTTGCTTCCCTGCGTTTTTTACTATCTCAAAAGGCAACTGTCAATCAAAACACCTAATTTTAAGGACGGAAACTCAAAGAGTAGAAATAAGCATAGCAGATCCTATACTTCTATTTCTAATCTTTGGGCTTAGGTTAGTGAACATACTTAGCAGTTAAGAGAACAGACTCTGCAACCCACTGGCTAAGTGAAAATCCCCTCGAGCTACATTTATGGGCTACGTGGCCTTGGCAGGTTGTTTAATCTCTTTGTGTCTTGGTCTTGTCACGTGTGAAGGAAGGGTTTGAGGGTTATTGGGAAGATTAAACGGGATACTGTACTCAGCAGCTGCTCAGCACAAAGTGCGTGCTCAGACACCAGGCAGGAGCATCCTGGACACACGGTGTCAGCTCAGACAAACAATCCCACATCAAAACTGGGTTTTCTGAGGGTCACAGCCAAGACTCACAGCCCAAGCCATTAAGGGATCAATATTTTAATATTTCTAAGAGCTTCTCTGTTATCAATCAATAAGGACAAACATGAATCCTGCCTCCCTCCCCTCCATAGGCTCAGGCTCCTATTTTTAAGTCTTTGATCTCGAGCAGAAAATTTTAAGCTAAGGCTTAAAATCTAATGAGTGATCAAATCCAATACAAGAAACATTATCTGCAATCAAAGAAAATGCAAACAGCACAAGAATCATGATTCACAACAGCATATAAATATAGGAAGTTATATGCTTCGAGTCATATAATTTAATCTTGAATCCCAGAATAGAAGCTCATTCTTACCCTAATTTTGGCTCTTTCCTTGCTCTATACTTTTAAGCATCAAGCAAGGGAAAGTCAAGGGCTGCGTTGTCATTATATACACCACTAAGTGATGATATACCTTTCTAGAATAAAACCACCTAGAGAACACGGCAGAAAAGGGGCAAAATGTGGATGAATGAAGAGCAAACACCATGTGCAGGTCACGTCTATACTGGGAAAACGCCTGCGGTTCTACTACAGGGCGGCATTGGGTTCTGCAGTAAGGACTGCTGGCTGGGCCCATCAGGAAACCGGTTCTGAAGTCTCAGATGTGCTACAACCTGATGTTATGGAACAGACCACTCCACTGCTCTTGAATCAGTGCTCCTATAAATGAGGACAACCCCAGAATAGCCGGGAGATCAAATGGGGTCCACACAGGTAAAAGAGTTCAGAAAAAGCACAAAAGAATGAACGGGAGAAAGAAACCCAGGGTGGAGCCAGGAGAAGGCACAGGGCGCGTAGACCAGAGAGAAGGCAGAAGGGAAAGGTGGCAGGCACCGCGTAAGGCCTTGTTGTTCTTAACGTTGATTTCAAAACCCAGGCCCACTAGCACACCTGACCTGGAGGAGAGCAGGACCACGTCTGCGGGAAGATACTGCCCATTGACGACCTTCACAATGTCTCCCACTGCCACCTGGAGAGCAGGGGCGAGGACAGAGAAGCGGGAAAGAAAAGAAAAAGGCACTTAAATATTTGAAGAAAAAATTACTCTATAACTAAGCCATGAAGTTTAAGATAAAGAAGCCCGAATTATTCTCCTTGACAAGAACAAAAGGAAAATGCTTCCATACACGCAACCGGTAATATCGCCTTTTTGCAATGATGCTTAATAAAAAAGAAAAAAGGAAAGGGAGAGGGAGAAAGGGATGAGTCGGCACAACTACAACGATCTCATTTATTACAATCATCCACCCATTTGCAAACACATGGACGTTTCCATAGCTGTAGCCATAGGGCAGAGTGGTTACACAGCACCTCCAGAGCCCGCCTGAACATCTGGGTTCCAATCCCCTGCTGTGTAGCCATGCAAACGCTATGCAAACTCTGTGTGCCTCAGTTTTCTCATCTATAAAATGAGGGTTACGTCACATATTTCATGGGGTTACTGTGAGGATCGACTAGGTTAGCACACATACATTTTTCTGTTTTACAAATGGGGAAACTGAAGCTCAAAACAAAATACCCTGATGAAAGTCGTACAGCAAGTGTCAGAACCAGTATTCAAAACTGGGCCATCCAATAGGAAGGCCAGTGCTCTGATTAAAAGGTAATACTAAATTTATTCATGAACCACATACCTAACGGCACCCCGGCTCCGAATTATACCACATAAAACCGAGCAGATTTGTACAGCCTCAAGAAATTGTCAGAAAGAGAGTCATGGCCAAAGTCAGAGACCACCTTGGGAAACAGACCCCACTGCACAGAAGATCCCAAGCCAAGGAAACAGGCCGTCATCTCCAAAACAGCACCATGGCCAACTGTCTGCAAATCCTTTAAGTAAGATCACAGAAAGCACCAGATTGGAAAGAATGTGGGCTTTCAACTCAGGCATGCCAAGGCTCAAACCCTGGCTTCGTAGGCATGTGCTAGCTCTGAGATCTTGGTGAGTGGCTTCACCTCTCAAAGACCTGGTATCCTCACTTCTAATATGGGAAAACAATTCCACTGGCTTTCTAAGGTTGATGCAGCGATTAAGGAAGTAGGTACAGCACCTGGCATGAAACAAGTGCATGTAGGTATCAGTCCCTATCAGCATGAGTGACTGAGTGGACACCATGAGTGTGACAGTCAAGGACACCAGAATTCTCTGATGACACAAAAGGAAAGATCATTCCTACCTTGCGCAGTACTAACTGCAAAACTCAAAATGGGCACTTTGCTTTCTGTTCCCTATTGAACTCTATGCTAGTCCCTTAGAAATCGAGAAGTTCAAATGATCTAACACTGTGACAAACTACTGGATCTTATAAGCGCGTAGGTGCCCAGGTTAATCTTCCGTCGGGAAAGAGGAGAGTTTACCGCGAGGAGGCCTATGTGTGCTCCAAACTGCTTATTGAAGGGTGCGGGGAAAATGCTCAGAGCTGTTTTAACAACCACCAGTACAAAAGCAAGGGATGCTTATGGAAATGGAATGGAAAGTGTTTTTAGAAGTAAAAATATTTTATAGGAATAGTTTATATAAAAAAATAAGCAGCAGCAACTGGGGGGAAAACTCACTAGAGAGGAAAATTAGTCATGTTTTCAAAAGAAGAAAAGCAGTGGGTTTTTTTAATTCAAAGTGGGAGGACAAGGGAAATTATGGCTTTCTCCCATCTTTACTTTCTAAATAAAGGAACATTCATATCTCAGCAACCAAGCACTAAGAAATTTCATGTACATGAGAAACTACTTACTTGGGATTTTGTTTGAAAATGGTCCTCTGCTTGATGTTCTTACGTGTGACTGTCCCTTGCTTGTATGATACTGTCTAAGAGAATCAGTACAGCGGGAAAGCAACCACCCCACATCCCTGAATCCACTCTAGCCTCAGAAGGTTCCTCATGCCTCTTAGTTTTGCAGAAGCAGCAAAAAGGTCCTCTTAAAGTCAATCGAAGCTGTTGAGATCCTCCGAGCGCTGCCCCTCAGCGCTCACCTACAACCCAGGGGATGGCTGACTTGAGCCTCGGCATCCCAGATTAGGTCGTTAATGCTTCGCGTAAGGACAGCCAGCTCCCCTTGCTCACATCTGTGGCGCCTCTGCCCTCTCTCGTATTCCCATCCTCACGCTGAACTGCTCACGGCTCTGCAGCTGTGCCTCTGAAACTGGTCACCTCCCATTCACTGTTGCAGAGAGCGCGACAGCATCTCTGGAGGGAAGCCTTCCCTGACCTGAGCCAGGGGTCTAGACTGCTGGCCCCTCCCAGGTACTCCCAGTGCACCGACGTGCACCGCCCCCAGGTCTCTACAGCTGCACTGTGCTATATAGTTAGCTGTCTGTCTCTTCCAGGACCCTAGTGGTTCCTGAGTATGCTCCCGAGAACAGTGGCATCAGCCTCACCTGGGGACTTGTTAAAAATGCATATTCTCGGGCCCCACCCCAGATGCAGAGAATCAGAAAGTCTGGGAGTGGGGCCCGGCCATCTGGGTTTTACTAGCCCTCCGGGTGACGAGGATGCCAGCGGAAGTTGGAGACCCACTGGAGGGGCCCTGCCTCACTCTTCCCACGCCTAGCACAGTCTCCAGTATGTGCCAAGAGCTCCATTTCGGTAAATAAACTACATGTATTTTAAATTGAAATAAAAATGCAAGTGGCAAAATATATAACAGGTGTTTCTTTGTTGTTGTGTTTCTCCCAAATGTGTGTGGGAAACAGTCATGAGCTCTGGGAGCCGGCAGGGCCATCAGCTCCTGGACCCAGAAATCAGAGACCATCACTCCATTTCCTGCTGCTTCAGATAGAGTCAGGCACACGGAATCCGAATCATCCTTCACTCTGGCCAGTATGATGCCTTTCTGGGGATGGGGGGGAACCCTAGAGAAACCCAGGAGGAATCCTAGAGAATTAGAGAGGTAAATCCCCAGTGCCGTGGCAACCCTTGAATCCCTCTGGCATTGGGAGCATTTCTCCCCCTGCGACGCCAAGAATTCCCAACCTCTTGGCCAAGAACCACCATACTTCCAAGTGAGAGTGAGGTCCGTGAAGGCCTGCAATACAGGACTTCTAGATCGGTACAAAAGTTAAGGTGTTATTGCAAAGCACTATTTTAATGGTGAGTGGTTCTCCTAAAGGGAGGCAAAATAAAACAAGAACTAAAGCAAATGCTGCAGTTATCATATCACAGGCATTTTTCAGACATAAAAGGCCCTAAGAGACATTTAAAAACATTGTTTACTAAATGTTTAGCAAGAAAAACTATTTTAAGTCATCCCTCTGAATAGTTGTTTTCTTCTGAAATCATGTTGATCAGCTTTGAATGTTGGACTAATGAGAGTCGTCCCCCCAAAACATCTTGTGTCCATTAAGATGGTCCAGCTAAAACAGACTCACTCAAAAAGCTAATTTTATCAGATATAAAATACCCAGATGGCGTGGCAGATTTCTTCTAAATTTTCTATTCATCACTATAAACAACCAAAAAACCCCACACCATTTCTGAGCTCTCCGAACCTCAGACTTGCAGGGCTTTGGAGGCAAAGCCTTCCTTGCTGCTGTTAAGAGCAGCAACTACCGTAGGGGTCATGTTCTAGCAGCCCGAGATGGTCTCCAATCCCTCCACCACTCTATATGTAATGGTCCTTCTACCAAGAATGTTAGAAATGAGAATCACAACAATTAAAAAGAAAAACAAACTTACTTAGGTTAAGAGAACAATAGAGGACCAGGGAAAGTTTCTTGAATTAGATTTAGAAACCAGAAGATACACTGAGATTTCAGAAATATCATCAAAAATAACAATGTTCATAGCTTGAAGTGACACATTGGGCACATTTCAGAAGGGGCAGGGGACAGAGTAAACATGCATCCATTCTAAGCAGACCACATGGGAAAACCCCACAATGTCAGAGTTACGTACAATGGAGGTGACCTATGTCTTAGCACAAATTTTATATTGCAATCAATACCAGCAATTCATTACAAGTCTTCAAACCATTACTTTCTAGTATATCTTTAAAATTAATTTTTACCTCTTTCCACATAATGGTATGCCACATACCATTTCTTAACACTGGAAAAGAAAAAATAGCATATTGGTTAATACTGTTGATAAATTAGAATCAGCTTCCTACAATCTAAAAGGCTCCTTTTAAAATCCCATTTATTAATTCTAGTATCCCATATTCTTAGACATAAAGGTAAAACACCACCACTCCAAAAAGTGGAGCCCCAATCTGCATACCTCTGTAACACATATACGTTAATGTATACACATAAATGTTTATGTATGTATCAAAGTTAAATCTATTTATATTCAGCCCAGAAAAAAAAAAGAAAAAAGCCTGCTCTTAAACAATTAAAAAAGCAGAGCCAATGTTGTAGAAATCAAAACAATACAAAGTAGAAAGAGGAGAAGGGAGCGATTATAAACTAAGGATATGAAGAATGCTTGGAATTTTTATGAGCATAAAAACTGTTTAGTTCCTAAAAATGACAACCTTTTCTAAAATTCTAAAATATACAAATCTTGTTCAAATCTTAAGCATCAGCACCAAAACCTTGTTCATTTGTTATTTTACTATTCCTTTAAAATACTTTATAGATCATTTTCCCAATTTATCTCAATACCATTAACTACTTACTCAAAATTCCTTAAATGCAGATCTTATCCTTAAGTTTTATAGTGGAAAAGGGGATTCAGCCTGGTATCTTACCTATGGTTTTCTTTTTGTTAACCGCATTATCTGCCTTATGTCGCTTCTGTTACAGAAAGAAAAAAAAAGTTCTTACATTGAAAAGTTCCAAATGAATAACTGAAATAGCAAACAGTGAGATCTGGAATAAAAAGGGACAAGGAAACTAACTGCCAACAACGCTTATGCTGTAAAATTCAGCTGGCAGTTTTATGATCTATCGTCACTCGCTAAATTGAGACGTATATACTGTGGTTTCAATTATTACATTTTGGTTGTAACAATTAACAAGCACTTTAAAATACGAAACTTCTCACTCCTTGTTTTACATCAGACTACAATAATTACTCAGTATGATAAACCCAACAACAAACAACTGATTTCATTTGACTGATGAAATAACTTTGCTTCGATGTGCACAGGTTACGTATCCCTCATCCTAAATGCTTGGACAAGAAGTGTTTCAAATTTCAGATTGTTTCAGATTTTGGAATATTTGTATATACATAATGAGCTATCTCAGAGGTAGGACCTGAGTCTAAACATGAAATTTATTCATTTATGTTTTATATATACCTTATGTACGTAGCCTGAAGGTAATTTCAGACAATATTTATAATAATTTTGTACACCCGTCACATGAGGTCAGGAATTTTCCACTTGTGTCGTGTCAACGCTCAAAAAGTTTTGAATTTTGGAGCATTTCAGATTTCAAAGTTTTGGATTGGAATGCTCAACCTGTATTACATTTATTTATTTACCTGTTCCCAGAACGATGTTATGAGTGTGAGGGGGAGTGTGCGAGTGTGGGGGAGGGAGGGAGAAGAAGAGAAAGAGAGGGAGAAGCAAATGCAGAGACAGAGAGACAGAGGGCACACAGATATATCGAGAGAACAGGAATATGGTTGTAGCCAGTGAACCCGGAGATACCCTGGCATACGCATGAGAAGGAGAAGATTCTCATAGAGCTACCACGAGCTACCATAGAGTTACCATAGCAAACACGACTCTGCTCTCCTAGACAGCACTGCAGGGTGTCCCACAAGTCACCATACATAGAGGAAATGGGAAATTGTAGCAAAATGTACTTTTACTTACAAAATACTCATTACAAAATTTTACAAAAGTTTTCCTTTGTATGGAGACTTTTGGGACACCCTGTATAACGCTTCATTAGCTACCCACGTTAGCAAGCTCTAACGTGGGATATAAGGAACACCAGCGATAAAAATTAATGGGGGTCAAGAGACCAAACATTCAAACACAAAGTGTGAACTGCTTCAATGTCACCATACAGGTATTTAGACACTCTAAGTACATGTTCCCTCCCAAAAAATACCATCATGGGTCTAGAGGGGCTCGTTAAGCCATAGCTATAGCTCAAGTTCCTGTCTCAAGCATGTCATCCAAGGCAAAACGTGAGTTACAAGTTATTTTCCATAAATGTTTTTATTATCCGAAAGCAAAAACTTACAAAATCTTCTACGATCTCTTTGATGCCTGCAATTGTTAAAATAATGATCAATGGCACCAGCGTGGTGTATCTTCCTGTTGGAGATACGTCTGGGATTTGCTGTAAGAGAAGAAACCACAAGAGGGAAGCTGGCGCGTTAAAATCCTCTCCACTGAAATTGTTACAATTGTGGCACTCACGCCTCACTCTTGCAGTTCTGGTCCATGTCTGTTACGCAAAAATAATTACCTTATTTTAAAAACTAGCTATTTTTTTTATATATTTTAAAATTTTTATCTAACATTGGCTATGTGTTTAAAACAGAAAAAGGCTTAAAAGTACAAGCCTAGGGCCATTTTTCAACACCTCTTTCAGTCACTGCAATTTTCCTTAAGGCGATACCAAAGATGCCTCCCTGTGCACAAGTCACGTTGTTCCCTCTATCGGACAATGACCAGATGAGGGAAACAAACTATATTCAGGCACCGTAACACTCTGCAGTTAAAGAACCTTTTAACAAAATCTCATTTTGCATGTCATTAAGGTTGCAAATTTTAAGTAACTTTTTAGAAGAAACATTACCTGTAATAAGGCAATGAAGAGGAAGAAGGCATTAGCAGCTCTTCTAATCTGCTCATACAAGAATCGAGGTAGAAATGTCAGCACGCTGTACTTGGCCGTACTGTAAATGCAGAGAAAAACACTACTTTCAGTTACAGATGTACAAGCTAAAACAGAGAACAAAAGTTTCAAAAGCTTTACAAATGGCTTTAAAAACAAAATGTTTCAAAACCCAAGACAATGAAATTGTGGAGCTGACTTCTCCTTCGGTGTCTCCCCGGCTATCCTCCACGGGTGTTTGACGCTCCAGCCACACCCAGATAAATCCCGTGCCTTCCACACACCCTTTATTTGGCCACCTTTGCTCACACAGTTGCTTCCGCTGGGGACATCCTCTCTCTTCCACCCTATCCTGTCTCTCCATGACTGAACTGTCCTTCCCAGCCTACCCTCGCAGCCGATCTTACGTCTTCCGTTAAGTTGGTCAAGTTCATAATGACTCTTCTTCATCCAAGGCCACCGTACTGTGTCTACCCCTGCACTATATAGTGTCTGCTTTGCTTCATAACTACTGCTCTCTCCCCAGAACAGATTATGGGAACGCAAGAATGTTTACTTCAAATCCACCATGTTTCCAGCACACAGCACGTAGCAGACAGTCCATGAACAATGAAACAGCCCCAAGGCAACACGAACCACAGGCCTTTGGCTGCTCACACTTTACCCAAGTTCACGCCGTGAGGGGACCTGCACGATTCCCAGCTCACCCTCTGAAGGCGTCACTCAGGGCCATTCTTACCTGAAATATATTCTTGCAAGTTTATCTGGCAGGTTCTGAATACACAGCAAATCAGAAGCACCAAAACAGAGGGGGGGGCGAAGGGCTCAGGAGACAATGCAGCAGAGGCGGGGACGCTGCCACAGGACCTGACAGCTACAGAACCTGGGATGATAAAACGAAACTGAAGCTGCTCAAAACTATAGCAGCCTGAGGTCATCTGACGGAAAGAGAAACAGCCCCGTGCGTCATTTACCGCCACGGCCCCACAGAAACCGTTCCCTGGTACAACGGCCTGGTATTTCACAGTACACGGTGATCAGAGTAGTCCTCAAAGACAAAATCATTTTTAGCCTTCTTCCGCCTGAGGGGCTAAAGACGTGTATGATAAATTACATGCAAACCACTTTTAAAACAGTTCAGACTTAAAGAATATGACACCTGAAGGAATGTCCCTGAATTAGCTAGAAAATTTGCTTACACAAGCTCCTCCTTGTCTATGTGGCCCAGTGGGGTAACAGGATGTCACTGTAAAATTCAGCCAGACAGAATAAACTAGCTGGCATTCTGAAGCTCATTAAAGAGTAGGGAAAACTATCATGCTTGTATACATGACAGCTTGTGGTACAAGTTTTCTTCACTACAGCTTAGAGAACAACGTCAAATATAACATCACGCATTCTTTTACGGCGATCCTGACCACTGAAATAGAGCAGCAAAGGAAGCATGAAGGCTCACACACTCTAAGATACGACTGCAGGAAGTATCTTGCAAGATAGCGTGACCATGACATTTGAAGCCGAGATTTCATCTGTATGAAACAGACAGACACACACACAGTTGGCACATGGCCCCAGCTATGTGTTAGCATTTCCCACTCGAGCAAATGCTGAGTGTGCTTAGGGACCCCCGCGTCTCTGGGCACCAGGCAGGGGGAGAGTTTTGGAGAAAGGGGGTCCTGCTTACGCCAGGAGACCACAGATGAGGGGGTAGGAAAGGGTAGGGAGACGCATACTAACTTTTACTCGACTAGAACTAGAAAAATGAGCTCAAATGCTTTCATCCTGAGGTTGAGCCAGCACGATCGATAATTCAGAGAAACTCCCAGGACTGGCTACAGACACGGGCTCAGAGAAGATGAAAGAACGCAGACCCCCGAAGGCTCGCGTAAGCGCTGGGAATCAGGAATCAGCAGTGCATCTGTACCACACTCTACCCCTTTGATAGCTGTTTTTAGCAAAAAAGAATTAATCTGAAACAATTAATGCAAAAAATTTAGCACTGGCGATATTAAATAAAGGCCTGGTTAGGGGACACACGCGCGCGCGCGCGCACACACACACACACACACACACACACACACACACACACAATGTGAAAACAGTATAGCTAATTAGTTTTCCACTTAGCATGACTTTCTAGTTATGTGGCTGTATAATGGACTGTCAACGGATTGTTTTACTCTGTTAAAGGAGGGTTAAGATAATGCTACGAATATCACTGTGAATATGCAAATCAGCAGGGCTCACAGGCTACACCTCAAAATGTGCACATATTTAGGAGACATGTGAAGGCTAAATAGTTCTAACTAATTCACATGCTCTTGTTTCCCATCCAAACTTTCTGCTACTGACAGAGCAATAGATAATGTTCGAGAAAAGGGCGACTGAAGCAGAAGCACAAAAACTGAGTTTTACTTAACTTTTAAACACTAACCAACGGCGAATTCTTCATAAAATGTAAAGTTTAAAGTAATATAATGTAACACTCAAAAGCTTATCAAAAAAGATATCATTTATTAAAGATAATTTTCAGATATATTAGAGTATAAACTCTGTTCTATGTGTGGTCCATATTTGGCAATTGAGAATTAAATGCTATGAACGACAGAAAAAAAATTCAGAGAAACTAACATTTATCCAAGAAAAGGTCACTGTGTGGCATTAAAATAAGTACCAAGATATACAACCTTTATCTGTCCTATTATAGAATTAAAGACATAAACTACAAAGAGCTAAAGGCAGCACCCATCAAAGTCAGTCTCCTGGCACGGTGTATGACGGTGCTTCTCAAACTTAAGGTGCACACGAGTCTCCGGGGGCTTGTTAAAAATGCAGATTGATTCTGATTTGGTGGGTCTGGAGCAGGCCCGAGATCCTGCATTTCTAGCACATGCCCAGGTGAAGCCCCTGCTGCTTGTCCACAGCCACACTTTGAGTAGCAATGGTTTAGGATGGTTGCTGAGGAGGTAAATGTGTTCACGTTTCCTATCTGAATCCAATCCAGCAGAACGCTGTAAGATGTAACAGAATGGGGTTTCCAGTTCCAAAATGGCAATGTAGACGCAAGCTTGCTTCACTCCGCCGACAGAAAACCAGAAACAAATACACAGCACTGAGATCGCCACCGGCAATATCCCAGAATTCAAATATGAGCATGAGACAATTCCCAGAGCCACAGAGAAGTGAAAAGCCTCCAAGTAGACAGTAAGAGAATCAGATTTCCATATCCAAGACGCCCCTACCTCCCAACCTACCTGGCACCAGGGATGTGAAAAATTCCCCCAACTCACAATTTTGACACTGGAAAAAGTGAGATCAAGGTAGACAACCAGCTTTCCCAGCATCTTGGGTTCCCTAGTAGGAGATCTGACACTGCCTCAACCCACAGGAAACATCAGGAGCCCCTGGAGGGAGAAATATCCCTGAGGACAGCCAGGGACAATGGGGGGAGGTGGGATCCTATCCCCAGCTCTGGAAACTCTGCTGCATAACTCAGCCAAAGGAGCTGCCAGATCAGAGTGGCTGCTTAGTAGGGCCATACTCTAGGTGGTACGTTCCACAGGCCCCCTAGGCACAAACCCCTAGCCAGCCTTCCCACACTGCTGGGATATTCCCAGTGACACCTCCCCCATTTGGGATGCTGTCAAGAGATTCTCCTTTATCAGAGCTGAGGCAAACCTGGGCTTAAGGCGCCACCTAGTGACAAAAAAGAGGCAGCAACCTGGCAGAAAAAGAAGAAATTCAATTGATGAATTACAAAGAATTTCTCAGCAAATATATCCAATAAAAACCAAAACAAGCAAGAGACAGAAGACTTCCATAAACAACTAATTCTTCAGTGCAAACATGTAGGTGTTCACCTACAAGAAACAACAGGAAACAGAGAACCATGACTTCCCCAAACAAAGCAAGGAACCAGTGATTGAGTCTAATTAGATGAGATATATGAGCTTTCTGATGAAGAATTGAACAGTGCAGGCTGGGCGCGGTGGCTCACGCCTGTAATCCCAGCACTCTGTGAGGCCGAGGTGGGAGGATTGCTTGAGCTCAGGAGTTCGAGACCAGCCTGAGCAAGAGCGAGATCCCATCTCTACAAAAAATAGAAAAATTAGCTGGGCCTCATGGTGTGCAACTGTAGTCCCAATTACTCAGGAGGCTGAGGCAGGAGAATCTCTTGAGCCCAGGAGTTTGGGGTTGCTGTGAGTTAGGCTGACGCCACGGCACTCTAGTGCAAACAACAGAGCAAGACTGTCACAGAAAAAAAAAAGAAAGAAAAAAAAAGACTTAACCGTTGCAGTCTTAAAGAAACTCTGTGACCTCCAAGATAGCACAGAAAGGCAATTCATAAATTCATCAGAGAAATTTAACAAAGAGATTAAAACAATTTTAAAAATCAAACAGAAATCTTGGAACTGAGAAATACATTTGCTGAACTGAAAAATTCATTAGGGGCTCCCAACAGCAGAATGGATCAAGCCGAGGAAAGACTCAATGAGGTCAAAGACAGGCTATTTGAAAATGCACAGCCAGAGGAGAAAAAATCAAAAAGAATGAGAAGGAGCAAGTATCATCCACAAGATATAGAAAAATATCTCAAAGGATCAAAGCTAAGAATTATTGGTGTTCAAGAGGGAGTTAAGCAAGAGCAAGGGGTAGAAATCTTATTCGAAGAAACAATAATGGAAAACTTCCCCAAATTTGAGAAAGATATAAATATCCAAGTACAGGAAGGTCGGAGAACACCAAACAGATTTGACCCAAATAAGACTACCCCAAGGCATAAATAACAAAACTCTCAAAGGTAAAGGACAAAGAGATGATCCTAAAAGCAGCAAGAGACCAGAAGCAAATAACATGTAAAGGACCTTCGATGTGTCTGGCAACAGACTTCTCAACAGAAACCATACAGGCCAGGAGGGAGTGGAACAACATTTTTCAAAATGCTGAAAGAAAAAAAAAAACTACCAACCAAGAATACTGTATCCAGTAAATCTATCCTTCAAATACAAAGAAGAGATAAAATCTTTACCAGACAAACAAAAGCTGAGAGAATTCACCACC